AATTAGATCATGAGCAAAATACTAAACAGCAGCAGGGCCACTTAAGAGAGAATTTCCATTTCTAAAACCAATCTCTGGACACTGGGAAGCCAGGACTCCTGCCCGATCAGTGGGAAATATGGCTTCTGGCTGCAACGGCTGCTTTTACATGTCCCAACTCCCCAAATTTCACCATTAGAGTCTCTTAAGAGACACGGGATTTTACTTAACCTCTTCTCAATCCAAATATACAGGTCTTCCCAAAGGGATCCTCCAACTGCGGCAGGTTTCACAGCACTGAAGGTGACCTATATTCTCCCTCTGTGGTTTTTCTTTTCCTTTCCCCCACTCTTTTCTTTTCTCTTCTCTTTCTTTTACCTTGTCTCAGATACCAGATGCCTGCAGCCAGTTACTGGAACGGCTGCCAAGGAGCACTTCTAAACAGCAGGTTTTGGAAGGATGCTGAAGAAGCCCTGTCCCTCTCCCCCAGAAAAACCAACCAACCCAAAACATCCCCTTACACAAGCCCAAAATCCTCCGCAGTGAAAACATCACCCATCTGCTTTTGTGCAGGAAGCTGATTCGCAAAGGGACACGGCCTCAAAATCCCAAATTTGGCCAAAAAAAGTCTTTCTCCTCTTCTGTAGTTTGTTTTTTTCTTGAAAGTAACCACGATAATAAAGTTTCAGTATTGAAGTTGAATTCCACAGACAAAAGAAAAGGAGAGGGAGTAAATACTAATAAAGAAATAGTGTTGTCTTTACATAGGTAGATGATGCAGCCTGAAGCAGAACGCTCCGTACAGCGCAGCTCGGCTCGAGGACGGCAGAACGAAACCAAAGGGTGTCCAGGGAAAAACAGGGAGAGCCTTCACGGAAAAGTAAGAAAATAAAAAGCCAGAGGAGCTCCCACACGAAGGAATGTTTGAAGGGGGGTAACTTTCCTCCTCGGAGAGCAGGTAAACCAGAGGCCCTATGAGAAGCTCATGAAGGGAAATGGGAAGGGAGCTGGGGAGCCTCTGCCCGCGGCCACGGTGCGCGTGGGACAGCAATGGGAATGGCCTCTTCCCACTCCCTGCTCTGCCATGGACGCTCCGATGCTGCTATAAATCCCCGGCTGTCTCCCTGCTTACAACGGCAGCGGGACTGCAGATGCATTAAGGCTACCACTATATATATATATATATATATATCTATACAACGGACCCCAATGCATTCTCCTATGCACAATGCACGGAGACGGCTCCAACCACAGATCCCGCATCCTGCCCCTCTCTCTTGCGCCACAGACGCAGCGAGCCCCACACGAGCCCTTCCTCCTGCACCGTAACCGCAGCCAAGCCCTTCCTCGGGTCACCGCGCGGGACAAAACCCTCCCGTGGCCTCTTCTCTGCCCCCATGGGGCCTGGAATCAAGGTCAGTTCACGAAACTGCTAACGAAACCCACAGCTCAAGCACCTTGCAGAGGTATCAACGTTGCAAGGCCGCTCTCGGAACGCGTTCCCGAGCGCGGGATACGTGACCCATCATCAAACGGCTCCACACACGGCGCGGCCGAGCGCCGGCTCCACGAGAGCTTGGCAATATCCTGCAGAACAGACGCCCTGTGCACAAGCCCGACCCTGGCCCCGGGCGCACGCGAACTGAGCCCTTTTGTACGGAAAGAGGCAAAGACACTGATATAAACACGGCACTTGAAAGCGGGCTTTGCCTCACGGCGCTTCAGTCCAGCCAGAAGACACAACGGAGAAGCGGCACGTTTGCCTTTGCCTGGCCGGGCCAAGGGATTTCTCCGTTGTTTTACGGTGGCCCAAGTCTGGCCTGACCAAACCTCGTGCGCTCCAGCACGCTGGGGACAGCTCCCATCCTCACGGTGCACCTGGAGGACAAGCAGGGCCGAGGCCACTGCATTTGGGCACCAAATGAAGGCCCCAGCGGGGACGCGGGATGTGGAGATGTCCCGTTGCGAGCGGAACAGCCCAACGCAGGACGCTTCTTGGCGGCGGCAGTGACTGCACCAAGCCCAGCTGCACCTGGCCCAGCAGGACCACTACAAATTAAACACTATAAAAATAATGATTGTTATTGTTTTTTTCCCCTTAGTAATACCACGTGTGCCCTCGTCCCAGGGTCAAGGTGGCTATCAGAGCAGTCTCCTTTTTGCTGCATATTAATACATCTTTCCGCAAAGTCGGAACAGTGATTTTCCATACGGATGGGGCTTCCCACGCGGCAATCCCAAAGCGCCAGGTTCGTGCTTCCCAGAAGGAGTGGAGCTTCCCTTCCCCTTGCGTGGTCGGAAACGGACTCCCCAGGCCATCCACGTGCTGACCAATACAGAAAAAGGAGCAGCATCCTGGCAGGCATCTGCAGACGCCGCTTGGGATGCTTGGGAAGCATTCCCATCGGATGGGGCGTCCAGCTTCCGAGCCACAGGCGAGGACCACGCAGTCCAGAGTGGCATTATCACAGCAGTAACAGCTTGCTGGGACTCCCACCTCTTCTTTCCACCCTTCCAGTGCCTTGTGCTGCTCCAAGGGGCTCCCTGATGATGCCAAATATTTTATTTCTGGGAAGCAAGATTCCCGCATCAGGTCGTGCTCCTCTGCTCCCCACGGCACCCTCCTGTTTGGGCTCGGGGCGCTGCATGCTGGGCCGGAGCCCCAAACATGCCCTGCTGGGAAGCACCCCCAGGAAATTCGGGAGAAGGTCCCGAGAGCTGCTATTCCCTTCCCACCGGGATGCTCCCGAACAGCCTACGCGGCAGCCCTGGAGCTAGGACAACACGGGCAATGCTCACAGGAAGGCCACGTCGGCTCTTCCCAGTGCTTCCTGCAGGATCCCAAAGGGAAAGCGGACAGCGGCGGGCACGAGGGGAACATCACCGCTACTCCAGCGCTGCGAGGAAGAGCTGGCAGCCTTCAAAGCACAAAACCCATTTCTGCCAACATGCCAAAGGAAGGGGCCGGCCAGCTCCTTTCGGGGGGACAGAGCTGGAGCAATGGCTAAAATCTGCCATAAATCCAGCTCTCTGGGCTTGCACCCACTTCCCTGCCCGCCTTTCAGTGCCCCCTGTGTCACAGTCACGCTGTGAGCAGTAATTAATAGGCAATAATTAATCGATGTGTAATAAGCACGCTCGGAATGCACCGTTTTCCTCAGCGTATGAGGAAAGATTTGGTTGCCACAAGCATCTTCAGTTCCCGTTTTCCTTTTAAACTACCTTTAGTCTGAGCTGTGAACTAGCAGGCAGGTTTGTACTTAAGAACGTACTGCATTTCAGTGGCTTTATTTTCATAGTCTCCACTCTTTGAATTAAAGAAGATTAAAAATAAATAAAATTGCAAAGCAGAGTATTTCCCACCTTCCTAGCCCTCCTTTCTACTGGAACCAGGGAATATTTTTCGTCAAGAAACTCAGAAGCACCTAATTCATATCATGGTTGCACTCTTGCTCACGAGGAATTCTTGCAATCACTGCATTAACTGGGGAGAAATCCCTCCCTAAGCCTCCTTACTCAGGAACAGCAGCACACAAGGAATATTTGGCCAGCAGGAACCGAGCGCCAAGCCAGACTTTCGCAGGAAAAATGCAGACAAAACCACCAAATCTGACATGGATATTAAGGGCAACACAGCAAACACGATGAAACGTCAAGAACTAGGACCTGCTAATCCTCCCCGTGCCAGAAAATCAGCAATAAGGAATGGTTTTCCATAGCGAGCATACCTACAGGTTGAAATAAACCTTTAGGACACAGCCCTGCTACACTGGGGCTACCACCTCCCCATACAGGTGCAGCACTTAAGAGCACGAGCTATTAAAGAGAACTGCTGCTAATGGAAAATACTCAGCAAAACTGTAATCCTGAAAGGGGTCTTGACAGGGAACTTGGTGCCCTTCTCCCCCAAAAAACCCCTAATGAGCCTGGTGAAAGCAGCAATGATCAGGATTCCTTCCTTTGTGTTCTGAAGAATAAAAGTGTTGTTCCGAGCACAAAACGTTAGTTGTTGGGAGCAGATTACGGGCCATCTGCAGGAAGGCAGCACAGCGAAGAAAGAGCATGGGAGAGAGGTTGTGTTTGCGGTAAGGGGCGGGATATTGTGGCATTTCAAAGGCAGAGCCGGACCCAGGCGACTTAGGAGCTGTCCTCACCGCAGCGCAGCTCGCGTGGCTGATCCTAACCCCGCTCTGCCGAGCCACTGCAGCTGCAATTCCACAAAGCAGCGTTTTCCAAGCTGCTATTCCACAAAACAGCCACGTTTTCCCTGCTGCAATTCCACAAAGCAGCGTGTTTTCCAAGCTGCTATTCCACAAAACAGCCACGTTTTCCCTGCTGCAATTCCACAAAGCAGCGTGTTTTCCAAGCTGCTATTCCACAAAACAGCCACGTTTTCCCTGCTGCAATTCCACAAAGCAGTGTGTTTTCCAAGCCGCAATTCCACAAAACACCCGCGCTTTCCCCGCTGCAATTCCACAAAACACCCGCGCTTTCCCCGCTGCAATTCCACAAAACACCCGCGCTTTCCCCGCTGCAATTCCACAAAACACCCGCGTTTGCCCTGCTGCAATTTCACAAAACACCCGCGTTTGCCCCGCTGCAATTCCACAAAGCACCTGCATTTTCGCTGCTGCAATTCCACAAATCACCTGCACTTTCCCCGCTGCAATTCCACAAAACACCCGCCTTTTCCCTGCTGCAATTCCACAAAGCAACGTGTTTTCCAAGCCGCAATTCCACAACACACCCGCATTTGCCTCGCTGCAATTCCACAACACACCTGCGTTTGCCCCGCTGCAATTGCACAAAGCACCTGCATTTTCCCTGCTGCAATTCCACAAATCACCCGCACTTTCCCCACTGCAATTCCACAAAACCCCTGCGTTTACCCCGCTGCAATGCCACAAAACACCTTCATTTTCCCATGCAAACACCCAAGCCTCCGTGCGCGCCTCTGGAAAACGCAGCCAAAACAGGAACCAGGAGCAGGCAAGAGGTGAAGCCCGTTAAAGCCGCCCTACCTTTGGGTCATGATCTTGTAGGCGTCGGGCAGGTAGCAGCGGATGTTCTCCATCTGGGCCGGGTCGGAGTCGCAGATCTTGTCGTCGGTGCGGCCGTAGTTGGCGCTCTCGATCATGATGACGTCGGTGCCGGGGCAGCGCAGCTCGATGGGGTAGCTCTCGCACGACAGCTCCCGCCGCACCACGGCCATGGGCACCGGGGCTCGGCTGAACGCTGCGGGGGCAACACAGGCACACGGTGACGCGCCACGAAAGCACTCTTCCAACGACAGGCCTCTCTCTATATATATATTTTTCCTTTTTTTCATATTTTCTGACCTCTCTCTCTATATATTTTTCATATTTTCCTTTTTTTCATATCCATATATATGTATTTTTTCATATGCACATACTGCAAAGCTGATGGTTGCAGCTCCAGCCTCCGCTTTGCAGCAGCTCTGCCCAGATGGGCAATACTGGGTACATGGTCAACAATACTGGGCCCATGGTCAGTACTGCTCTATGTTGGGGGGTTCATGTAAAGAGTCTCCACAAATCCTACCGTTTTTTGAAGAAATCTTGGCTAGTTTGGTAAAGGAATAAATAGGGAAAAAATCCTTTAGGATGCCTTGAAAACAAAGTCCTAAATTATTACTAATTATGCATATATGGCATCAAGCAAAAACCCATCAAGCAAAAACCCATCAAGCAAAAACTCAGTGTAAAGCCGAGTCTTCACCTACGGACTACAGTGCAAAACTCAACGTCAAGCCCAGTCTTTTACCTACGCACTATAGTGCGTAGGTAAAAGACTGGGCTTGACGTTGAGTTTTGAGGTTTGGAGGGAAGGTTCTAACCTCAGTTTTGATGGATCCAGGGGCCATCCATCAGCGAGCGCTTCCCCCTACGAAAACTATCCTCTCCCCAAAAAATCCAGCTTCCAAAGTGCTGCTGCTTTGCCCCATGGAAACTTCCATGTGCTCCAAATTTCCTTATGGAAATAAAACCTTAAAATACTAGCTAAGTAAGGAGAACCCCACTTCAAACCCACAGACACTAATTGCCCATCTATTTGCTCATACGAACCCTGTGTGTCTGCAGCTAATCCTCACTCTCCCGGGCTGCTGCAAACAAGACATTAGGAGCTGCTATCAGCAATGTGGTTTTATTAAAAGAGAGGTTGCTGAGGGCTGAGATAGCGGCCTAATCTCATAGCAGCTCTGTCAGCAAGGATGCAGAACTTGAAGCTCCTGGTGGAGGATTTTACAGCCAAATTGGAAAATATAGAGAGTTGGGAAAAGCTCTTAACCACGTTCCTGCACTGAGTCTCATGTACAAGAGATTTTATGGCACTCATCTGCTAAAACTGCATGGGTGACAGTGCCCAGGAAAGGCTCTCCACAAAAACAGCTCCTTGAAGGGACAACACAAAGGAACGACGGCCTTACTGGACACCAGACCAGATGCAAACACAGTTTCCAGGCGGAGCCTTCTGCAATACGGAAATTCAATTTTGCTTGTCATGCAGTCACCCAAACCCTTGCCAGCAGAACAGCAGACAGCTGTGGTGCACAGACTCCTCACTGGGTAACAGTGTGTTTTCTGCAGCCACTTGTCTATGTCAATGTCAACGTCCATGTCCATGTCTATGCAACTCAATGAGTTGCACGGGTCCCTTCTGCATGATTTCTGCAGGAAACACTCCAAAGGGAGAGCAGAGGTTGGTTGTTCATCTTCCTGCAAGCCCATTCCTTGATTTGGGGTCCCTACAGAATAACCTTCAGCGGCAAAGCTTTTTTCCCTTTGTTTTTCCCTCCCTGAATCAAGACATATCCAAGTGTACCTGCGCACTGCACAGCGTGACGGTATTAATTCATTAAGACACTTCTCCCATGAGCAGCTCCCTGGCTTTGCAGGCCCTATCCCGCACTGGGCTCCTTACTTCACCTCCTGAACAAGTGACTTAATGGTTGGCTTGAAGTCACGAGGAGCTGCTGGCCGCTCAGCACCAGAAGAACCAGGTGCCTCCTTCCAGGATCCCGTGCATGACCTGAACACGGACGGCAGAACCGAAAAGATCATGGAAAACACGGCGACAAGTGGGTGGATTTTACCTGGGCAATTTAGGACTCTGCCTCCTCTAATTTCAGGAGCTGGAAAATTAAGTAAATCATCAAAATCTCCTGCTTTTTTCCTCCCCTCGCCTTGCTTTAGACTTCCGAACATAATTGCCTCTTGTCATGCCTGCAGGGCAAGGGCTTGTAGTTATCACCGGGTGCTTAATCAAAGGCTGGAACAGCCTCTGAATCACGAGTCGAGTCTCCTCGGTGCTGCAGACTCGCGGAGCTCCGGCCTCCGCTACGTTTGCCAGCACAACAAGGAAAGAAAGGCCGCAATTTCACACGGCTTCATATCCCCACGGCTGTTAGAAAGCAGCCAAGACGAAACCTCAAACACCTTCCTATTCCCAAGGGAGCTTGGGTGCTCTCAGGTGCTGCAGGAGGCAACGGCCTTTGCTGCGGAGGCCGCGCCGAGGCGCTGCTCCCAACCACGGCCTCCCACTTCTGCTATTAAGCCAAAAACCTCATTACTGTTTTGTTTGCAGCCATGAACACGGCTCTAGGCTTCTCCTCCACCTCCATTCCCCTTAATCCGAGCTACACCTGGCCCTGGATGGGAAGAAGAGCAACATTAGCAGCAAACCAAACCCCGGGTTCAAAACCCTTACCCAGTGTGCTCCCATTCTCCAATATTAATTGCTCCCGATTATTAACTGGGTTCGGAAGCTGGAAAGCACTGGCTGCTCCACTGCTCTTGGAAAACTTGGGATGCGAGCACTAACAGAGACCCAGTAATACCCGCTCCCCATCCCGTGCCTCCAAGACCTACTCAGTGGCAAAGAGCTCTGCATCTTCCCTCCTGGGAAAGGGGGAGAACCTGTTTTTGCTGCTGGCAGAAGCAGAAGGGGCAGAGGAGCCTCCTCCAGGCGCTGGCGGGTGCCAGGCTCCTGCAGCAAAGAGGCTCCACAGGGGCTGGCTCTGCCCTCACTGTCCCCAGTGCAGCGCAGGGGGACAGGGCAGCCGCTGTCACCTCAGCTGGGCTCTCCTGCAGCGAGGAGGAGCGAAAGGCAGCGGTAAATACCGGGCAGGAGGGAAGTGGCACCAAGTTCCCTGCTTTTCCCCGTGGTGGGACACTGAGAAGTGACGCAGGTCTCTGGGAGGAGAAGGGTTTGGGGGCAGAAAAAGCGACGAGGAGGGAGGCGGCAGCCGGACGCTGTCCTCCTCCTGCCCCTGCAGCAGCACCTCAGTCCCGTCTTCCCCTCCACGAGGCGCTGGGACTCCAGGCCCACTGGGTCGCACATGAGTGACGGGAGACGCTACCTCCAAAGGCAAGTCCCAACGCAGGTTTGCAAATAGTTTCTCCTCGTGACAGGCCTCAGTGTTGACGAGTATCTCCCACAGCAGTGGATCATCTCATTGGAAAGGGAAGACATGCGCAGGGAGTTGTTCACACGCAACAACAGCTCTTTCAGGGCAGGGGCTTCCTCAGTATGAATTAACTTTCCAGTTAAGGTCACTAGGGACGCCTGCTGTGCTTGAAGTCCTCCACAGCATAAGGGTTTTAACCAACTCGCCCTATTAAATCTGCCCTGCAGCCTCCCAACAACGTGACCCAGAACACCAGGGCACGAGGTGCTGGTTCCTGCCGTGCAGACGTGAATATTTCCTTTACTTTGGATGTTAAATCCACCACGAATCGGTTCTTCTTCCAAACCCACAGAGCACAAACTGCACGGGGGCCTTCACCAAGGCAAGACTCCCCTCACCCTGGTTGCATTTATTGGGTGCCCTGTGCAGAGGCACCAGAGCTGTGGCCGCCTCCACAGCACAGGGCACTTCTCCCACTGACCTTGCCGCGTAACCTTGAAGTCTCCAGCTTAATGTGGCACCAATTAATGCGGAGAGGCGAGGGGAAATTGGGTAATAACAGAATTCGCCCCGTTTTCAATTACTACGCTGCAGCTTTTTTATTGGAGCCATTAGCAAGGTTAATTTTTTAATCCTGGATAAAAAGCTTTTTATAAACCACGGTGGCAGGTACCTTCGGAGCAGCACTGAGATAAATGAGTAGCGAGGGCTTCACCCCAGAACCCAAAGGGAGAAGAACCTGCTCATCGTTTTCAAAGTTCACACCGAACCTTCGGCTCACAGGGGTATTTTCCTCTGTTATTGCTTCCATTTAAAACACTAGCGCAAAATTCCAGGCCCTGCTAAAATGATGGAAAGCTGGAATAACTTCCAGTGGTTCCGCTGAGCCCCAGGACGCAGGAGAGGAGCAGTGGGAAGGGATGGAGACCTGCAAAGAGCAGCAGCCCCTAGCCTGCCATCCTGCCGAGGGGGAAAAACATAAATAAATGCAATTAGAAGGATGAAAAAAGAAGCCAAAAGAACCAATTCCAGTAAATTCAGTAAGTTCAAAACTCCTTTCAGTGCAGATGGGCTGGATGCTTTTGGGGTTTTGCTGGAGAAGGGAGAGACTCCAATAACCCCACCTGAGCGGGCAAGCCCTCCTCCAAGTTGAAGTTTAATTTGGATTTACGGTTCCCCGAACAGCCTCTGAAGGGGAACATTAAAGCTCTTGTAGAAATATCTGCATTATTAAAGAAATGATGAGCAGCGGAGTGAGGATTACTTTGTGCTGCTTATGCACTTGTTTACTACGGCAGTAAATCTGTTTTTTTGCAGTTCGTATTGGCCGGAAAGGAGAACTGCACAAAATCTAAACTACTGCCCAGAAAGAAAGAAAAAGAAATATTTTTCCTTAAAGGTAAGAGGGGATCATTCAAATACCCATACAAAACTGTGGGGTCCCTCAGCCTGAGTATCTAGACCGTGTAACTCCATAGAAAGCCAAGGATGTCTCCTCTATAGTTAATTTTGCAATAAATTACCCAGCCCTTGAAGACTGGCCTTCCTTGGGAAGCACAAGGGCTAACCTGCAGATCATTAAATAAATAATGGAGATTTTTCTTGGCATCTTAGATATTGCGGCTCCTCTGAACCTCTGCCACGAATAACAGGGAATTTGTTCTGTCTACTTGCCATAACCCCAGGAAAGTTTTATAAAGACACCTAAAACTGCTTAAGGTCCTGACTCCTCCCCAGAATTGCACTCCCTATTATTTTAATTCCTGTGCACACGTGCATGTTTATCAACATACACAAGTCCCTCTAT